TGAGAACCTGTCACTAGATCTGTTGAGGTGCACTTGGGATAGTCTGGCAGCGGATAGCTCAAATCCACAAGCTCTACTACGTGTGACGTTCTGCCTTTGGTGTTTTTAGCCCAACAACTCAGAGTATATAATAAATCGCTAGGTTGGAAATTTGTTATTGTCAATGTCAGTTCTGTGTCGGTAGTGATCTCATATCGGAGTTCATCGGGAAGATCGGTTGAATCGTCGAATCGCCACTCTATGTCACTTATGCCAGGACTGGCAATGGCTTCACACGTTAATGTTAGGCTTTGTCCCATGCTGACTTGTATTATATCGTCCGGTGTAATGAATATAACGGGTGGGTGACTTACTCTCATCGGTTCAATCTCACAATATCTGGGTTCTGGTAGTTCCGGGTGTGTTTCTTGGCAGGTAATTGTAGCTCCATTGTCCATCCACGACATTTGCCAAGCGTATGAAATTCGCGATAATTCCTGACGGTCGTCGTCTTCCCGTGTACCATTCAACACTTCGGTTCCCCGCATTAACACCAGAGTAGGCAGTGGATCGGCACCACCCCGAGAATCACAGGATACTCGCGCGCTGTTCCCAACTTGATTCGGTCTGCTCGCGTAGTTTATACCAGAGGTCAGACATTCGGGAAAGTCGTCTCGCGGTGGAATAGCAGACACGAAAACGGCTTCAGTAATACACAGTGTGAGCACGAACCAAAATGATCTGTTTGTCGAAATCATGGCTGGTATTTGGCGTTTGACAACATTGAACAAAATGAAATGAGATCACACAGCATTATGATTGAATTTCAAATGACGTTCGCGACGTTGTTGCTGCATGTCCACCCGTCCGCCTAACATTATGGAGGTGATCTATAAATAAATCGGAAATGAGAAAAATATTAATCTATTACAATACACTCATGACGAGTTGTCAGTGGTAAACAAAACATAAGGAAGTAGAGAATGAACAGTCACTATCCCCACCTTTAATGTTGACGTTCGGGAACACAATTTAGCTTTCCCCGGACTACATAAAGAACAGCCTGTACCTGGCTGTACCTGACGACTGTCAAAACCCACTGAGAGGCGTACAAAGACGTATTACAAACTTATACGCACACACAAAAAGAGTTCAGTTTTTGACCGAAATCTATTCTTCACTTCCGAATAAGTATTGTCATGTTTTGTTATGGTAATCTCTACATTTAGTTCTCCTTACGTGGACCAGAGGGTGCTGTCAAAATAGTTTGTTTTTCGTTTGCTTTTATACAAAAGAAACGAATTTCCAAACTCAGAAGAGCGCAAGGCGTCTATTGGTGTCCCACACCAGAGTTCAAAAGTGTGGTCGCTCGGCACAGCTTTCGTTTCTTTTAACACAAAGACAAATTTAGGAATCTTCGAGGTTCATGTTAAACGAAACGACACTTGAGGGGCACGAAGCAGTCACTTTAGGGAATACATACAATAACACACACACATGTAATAAAAAGTGACAGTGAAGATGAAATGGCGATGTCGAACAAAAAGCGTCCCGTGTCTATTCAACCTTTTAACTCGCTTCGCTAATAATGTGCTACAGTTTACCTTTTCGGCTTTCCGTTTCCCACACCAAGTCGAACACTATTTAGTGTGTATAATCAACACCCGCTGGCGTGTCTTGATTCTCCCAACGTGCTTCCCCAGCGATCGCTACCACAAATAGAGAAAGATCCGATATGCGGCAACTTAATTGTATTGTTGTTTTCACCAGCACACTAAGAAGTTTGACCTTGTCAGTATTGTAAAACACCTGAATAGGAAGACGTATATTATCTGTATGGCAATACAATCGCAGTCAAAGCAATAAAACTCATTGTCAATATCTCGCCTCAGCCGTCGTTGAACATTCAGACAAACTGAGGTATAACATGAACTATCGATGTACGCAGCAGCGCTCATAAGGTGTGGATTTGCTTTGATTTGATAATTTCGATATTATTTGTTCTTGCCCTCGCTGTTAAAAGCAACAATTAGAACGCATCGCAATTTGACCGGGGTATGCTTGATGTATGGATTGAGGAGAAGGAGAATAAGATTGTGGTAACAGACGCTAAATTAAAGCTCACATGACGAACGTGGGCTGGTATAACAACAAATGGGGGCGAGAAATACAATACGCACCTAAACAGTTCATAGATGCGAGAAACGAAGGACGTCGGCACGCTTTGTCGGTGACCATCGAACTAGACTGCCGTACAATAAACGTTTCACACCTATTGAAGAGCAGAAGCAACTCTTAAAAAGAACGCCAAGACACATATAGTACGTTGATTATTTTTTGTCAATAAACGAAACAGTTGTCATACAAAAACAAGGTTATCACATGATTGACTATCAATCAAGCATTCAATCAATCAATCAATCAATCAATCAATCAATCAATCAATCAATCAGCCAGTCAGACACGGAACGTCCGTTTCTGTGATAGGAAATTCTGCTACATTTATATCTTTTTTTAATAATGAAGTTTACATTCGGCGATTTACAGTCACATGGTCAGGTTGCCAAGGTTAAAGCATATCACCAACTACAAAATTAGTCCAAATTGCTGGAACAGAAAAACAAATCATTCCGATCTCCATGCAGATTATATACATATATCTATTAACACATCACTCGCTTTGAAGAACTCTTATAGCTACTCCAACACCAAGTGTTATCATTTGAACGGCGTACCAGTTCCGATTGTACGTGTACCTGATTGGCTACACAATCATGACACGTGACAGTCAGACCAATCAAAGAGCAGCTTGTTTGTAGACACGTTTTTTTCGACCTATCAAATTCCGCCTTATATATATGCTTCGACTCATCTGAAATGTTGGCGAAAAATCTTAATTTTTGGTTAAATTTCAACCTGATTTCACAATTTCTAATTAGCTGCAGTTTTTATCAATACTTTGAGAACAAATATGAACACAATTACACGGGTTTCTATGGTGACCAAAGGTGACTTTGCCGTTTTAAGTGTCAAGTTGTTTAATACGAACCGTATCAGGAAGAAAGTACAAAAAGCCTTTCGGCAACTTTAAAGTTCAAATGGGATTATGTCTCCGCTTTTAGACGAGCGACATTGGAGACCTCTTTAATTTAATCTCTCCGATTGTGAGAACCACTTTATAATTTGATCTTTCATCTTGTAAGTACCACGAAAGGTTGGTCACGGCAGAAGAAAGAAGTTGAAAAAAAGAATAGTAAGCTTCCAGATAAACCATATACTGACAAAAGACGTACATCCATGTACTGGCAGTACTGCTTGAATGTTTGCCACGGCTGAATAGCGTTACAACTGCTTTCATATAAACCTGAGAAATCACACCCAGAGAGAGGACAACGATAGACAACGGCCTACATTCCATCACATAACGAATCGTTGTTAATTAAAAAATCAATTAAAGAAAGAGGTAAATCAAACGACTGTTAATCTCGTAATAGATTGTGGATGGTGAAAAGAAAGCAATTGTTAACAGCGCGTGGTCAATTTTTGCTATCTGGCGATGGGCATATACTCGTAGTTAGTTTTTTTTTAAATTCATAAGTAAGGTGTAACTATTGCGAGAAAACGAAAACGTTTGAGCTATAACGCTATACCAGAGGTAAGTCTTACCGGCTCTCATCACAAATAATAATAATATAATAAACGTATAAGTCGACCGCCAGTCTCTTTGTATATGGGTTACTTATTTATTAATCGGGAACATTTTCTCATGTTGTGATAAGTATCGTGATCATGTAAACGTGTATGGATTGGTGACGGCGCTAAGTTGCCAACTACGCCTTCTGTGTATATACCCTTATACACGTCTATGTACAGGCGCGGTTGCTTACAACCAATGCGTCAGGTCTAATTATTATAATTGGTCAGCTAATTGCATTAAATCAAATAAGTACCTAATGTTAACGCGCAGAGACAACATAATCTAAAATAGTCAGACGACAATGTCTTTGAATTAAACACGATCGGGACACAATCACTATACACACGTGATTACTTTCGCTAGGAAAGGTGGGGGTTCAGAAACACAAAGGTTTTCCAGTTTTCGAATGAGTACAATTTAAAAGGCGATAGTCGCCACGACATATATCGCGTTAGGGGTGCGTCCCGTGTATACAGCACGTGTAAAATACATTGTCTGTTTACTACTACATGTAGTTTATCCGAATGCGCGTTGCAAAATAGTAGCAAAAATAAACAAGCCAGCAAAAATAAACAAGCGTACATAGCTATATCTTGAAATAGTAAGACTACACATTTTTCTGCACAAAATAGAAAATATTATAACAGCGTTTGATACGTATGGATCTAATTTTCAACCCCAATGACAGTAGTCTGGATGACGAGGCGAGGTTACTAGTATTTCTACTCGCTCATTGAAGAAGAACAACGATGAATTGTTAGTAAATGGATGTATGGCTAAATAAATAATTGTAACACCTGGTGCATCTTAAGTAGGACTTTGGTATAATTGTATGTTTATTTTTTTTTATTTGGTTCTTTACACTATTTTGATCGATAAACTTAATAATGTAATGCGAGTACCCGACTAGGTTACTTTCATTCGTGATAATATTACAATAGCGACTGAATAGGAGCCATACTGTGTTTTATTTATTTTTCTTGACGTATTGTCTTTATACTGCGTGTTTAACTTTTGAAGAAATGAACATCGATAGTACATCATTACATTTCACCGCGTTTGGCACCACGATAAAAGCTTGTCTTTAATGGGTGTTCACGCTTGGTTGATATTTTCAAAAAAAAACAAGCGCATTCCCTTTTAACTTATTTGAAGCAGCTGTGACCTCTTATACATATGGATACAATGAACTAACCTTCCTACATCTCGATACACCTGTGCTTGCCAAACTAGTATTCACGATGGAGTGAATAAATTGAGCAATAAATCACGACACGGATGTAAGAAAAATACAATAGGCACACATCCGTGGGAACTCATATACGGCAGTATAACTCACTCTTAATCGGGCCAGCGTATTTGTAGTACCTGTTGAATGCATTGCGTAAATCAGTTCAGTAAAGTTTACTTACGTTTTTCATCTACTCACATACAAGCGTGTAAGCTCCGACCATTGGCCCTCGCATGTAAGAGGCTATTCGTAGAGTTTGATTAGCGAAGGGGTGGGTGTGTCGACTAATTACAGCATTGGGTAACTTAATTTATTAGATTTGATCTGCGTTCATTTATACTGTCTAGCATATGCCGTAGCTGGTTAATAGGACACGTCTGTCTTTTTATGGCATTCGATACACAAAGACGAAGAAACAAAGACGCCGCGGCACTGTAATCTTAACGGCTTTAACAGTGGGTAGATTCAATGAAAGTGAACCGTAAATCTAGTGTCTCAACTCGTCAAAAGAATACTTTCTTTGTAATGTAGAGTTTCTGCGTAGGGCGTTAAATGAACCGATGTTAAAAGATTACCGTCCATGCAAAGGCCGGTTGATTTAAAGTTATGCGACGAGGAATTGTCTTGTTGACACCGTGTCGCAGGGCACGGGGTTAGTTCGCCGGTAATTTAACTGCAATCGAATACCACTAAAGTTTCTTTAACAAATACACTGGCTACATCTTCAACGTCATTTTTCGAGTGAAGAATAAACACACCCACCAACAGAAAAGGGGAAAAATCTTCTGTTTAAGCCGTGTTTCACACAGTATTGTGTGCAGTACGTGCGA